CCCATAGGGGGACATGTGCAGTTTGACCCATGGGCTCTGGTGTGGTCTGTTTGAGTTACCACTCCTTTCAATTAGTTCCTGCTGTCTTGCCTTTCCCATGAGCCCCTCGATGCTCAGAACTCTCTGGATTGTGTGGCCAATTTAGAAAGAAACAGACTCTTTTTTCTGATCCTATTTCCAAACAGGGTCTTTAGTTCCACTTGAACCTGATATGATCCTGAAGGAAGGTTTATTCTGTCCCATCCTGTACCTTAAATGCCTCAACTTGTTCATTAGGTTTTCAACTTTCAGGGCAGAGACCCTATAACCTGTTGTGCTTTTGGTACAGGAATGTCAGTTCATGACAACTGTGAATTTGAAGGATGCATAGTTCAAATTCATGTACATCTGGATCATTACTGGCTCCTGTGGTTATTGCTTTAGCTCCCAGTGTCTTTATCCACCTGGTCCCCCTTTAGTGGTCCCTTCTCTGCCAGTCTCTCACAGCTACTATAATTGGATCTGACAGCTTTAGACTCTCATTTGTTGGATTTCCCGCCCATTGTTTACCCAGGCATAATCCGTTAGGAGTATCTTGTGGTCCGCTTTTACGAAGTATGCCAGTTGGAGAATCTTGGTGACCTCCCTCAACAGCAGCACTTCAAAGCCCTTCTTGGTGGTTTACATAGGCAACCTCTGTGTTTTTACAAGGTGTTTTATTAATTGGAGAGGAAGGTGTGTTGTTAATTAGCATCAGGGCCGGTGCAAGGATTTCTGCCGCCCTAGGCAAAGATCCATTTTGCCGCCCCCTCATGTAACTCACTCACTGACATACATATGCTCACTGACATACATATGCTCACTGACATACATACACACACTCACTGACAGACACACACACACTCACTGACAGACACACACACACTCACTGACATTCACACACTCACTGACATTCACACACTCACTGACATTCACACACTCACAGACATACACACATTCACTGACATACACACACTCACTGACATATATACATACTAACATACATTCACTCACTCACTGACAAACAGACACACACACGCGCACGCGAGGGAGGAGTGAGAGGCTGCCATCAAGGTAAGCGGGTGCCTGCTCTGCCTTACCTATCTGTGATGAGGCTCCTCTCGGTGCCCCCACCTTCGGGCGCCTTGAGGAGCAGCCCGGCGCTGGGGGCGGCTCAATAGCCGCTCTCCCTGCGCAGCGGCCCCAGACAGGGGGAGCCCACCAGGAAACATCCCAATGGGCGCCCCCAGCAGGTCGGCGCCCTAGGTGAATGCCTAGTTCACCTAACAGTGGCGCCGGCCCTGATTAGCATTTCTTAATCCTTTGCCCGAGTCGTATGTTATATATATATTTATGTTAGCACAACATATTGACTCTTTTATGATGGATTAAGGTAAAGATGAATTACACTATGTGGACAAATGTATTGTGACACACCTCTTGCTTATTGAATTTTGATTTTTCAATCAGACCAATTGCCACAGGTGTATAAAATCAAGCACCAAAATAAATACTTAAGTAAAAATCAAGTACCTATCAATGCAACCTGCATTTACAAAAAATTATAGAAAAATTGGTTAGTTCTGAACTGGACTGTGGAGCAGTGGAAATATGTTCTGTGGAGTGACGAATCACACTTCTCTGTTTGGCAGTCTGATGGGCGAGTCTGGGTTTGGCAGTTTCCCGGAGAACACGATCTTCTTGACTGCATTATGCCTACTATAAAGTTTGATGGAGGAGAGATAATGGTGTGAGTCTGTTTTTCAGGGGTTAGGCTATTTCCACTGAAGGAAAATATTAATGCGTCAGCGTACCAAGACATTTTGGGCATTGATATACTCCAACTTTGTTGTAGCAGTTTGGGGAAGGCCCTTTTCTATTCCAGCATGACTGTGTTCCAGTACAAAAAGCAAGGACCATAAAGACATGGTTGGATGAGTTTGGTGTGGAAGAACTTGACTGGCCCTTTGAGTTGAACTGGAGGAGAGATTGCGAAGCTGACCTCACAAATGCTCTACTGGATGAATGGGCACAAATTCCCACAGAAACACTCTAAAATGTTGTGTAAAGCCCTCAGAGAACAGTGGAAGCAGTTAGAACTGCCAATGGGGGACCAGCTACACACTAATGGCTAGGTATTTCGAATGTGATGTTCTAAAAGTCCCTGTTGGTGTAATAGTCAGGTGTCCAAATACTTTTGTCTGTATAGTGTGTATGGATATTGCACTGTAGTTTGCAGGAACATTCAAGATTTTTTTATTTATTTTTTTAAATTATACTATTTTCCTAAATACAAATCTACAGTTCCTGGACTATTTCTTTTAGCAGGTTGTATGCATGCAGGGTGCCCTCGTGGATTTCTGTACACTTTTCTGTTTATTTTTTCATTAATGTGACAGCCGACTGACTGTATGTCATTTAGAATTTCTAAATGGAAAGTATTTTATTTTGTGATTTTAGTTGGGTTTTTAAACCCCTTTGTGATGTCCCTCCTTCCCCCCTCCCCCCTCCAATCTCATTATCAATCTCTCTTGGCAGTTATGCTGTAACAAATCACAACTGTATGGGGCTTTAGCTCCAGGGTATTTAATTAGTAGAATTCAGGAAAGCACCTCTATCATATTTAATTTAATAGCAGACAAAAACAAATAAACCACGTTTTGTCATTGTATATTTCTTTTAAAAGAAATATGGATTTCGCAAGGTTTTTGTTTGAGAGGAGGGCGGTATCAGCTTAGTTTTTTAGGAGAAATTTGCAGCTTTGATTTAATACATTTAAATTATTAGACAATGTTTTATGTTGATTTGAATTTCTGTTTAAAAAGTCATTTATAATTTCCTATAAAGATATAGCAAGCTTTCTTATTGTATTATTACATCTCATTGCATCATTACAATTTATGGGTATGGTGCAAGCAGGCTATGAGTAAAGTCCCTCTGGATTTTGTCAAAGCAGTGTCAAGAGGTTTAAACAGGTTTCCCTAGCATCCAACTCTCACTCCCTCTTGTGCTCTGCTAATGGATATCGTTCACATGCTCAGTATTTGGCCAATTTATCTATACAGGTTTGACAACTTTTTGTCACAAACTGGGGTACTGCATCCATAGACTCCTTATATCGTAACTACGACAAGAAGCTGTCACAGTGAAATTTGTCTTTGGTGAGAATCTCGGGTGAGACTCATTTTGCAAAGTATTATAGGAATACATATGTACAGCATTTAAGCCTCTGTCATAATAGACCTTTACAGTGCCTTGCAAAAGTATTCACCCCCCTTGGCATTTTTCGTGTTTTGTTGCCTCACAACCTGGATTAACATGGATTGTTTGAGGATTTGCATAATTTAATTTACAGAACATGCCCATAACTTTTAAGATGTTTTTTTTTTTATTGTGCGCAAACAACAAATAGGACAACATAACAGAAAAAGTCAATGTGCATAACTATTCACCCCCCTAAAGTCAATACTTTGTAGAGCCACCTTTTGCGGCAATCACAGCTCCAAGTCGCTTTGGATACGTCTCTATGAGCTTGCCACATCTTACCACTGGGATTTTTGTCCATTCCTCCAGCTCCTTCAAGTTGGATGGTTTGCGCTTTTGAACAGCAATGTTTAAGTCAGACCACAAATTTTCTATTGGATTGAGGTCTGGGATTTGACTAGGCCATTCCAACACATTTAAATTTTTCCCCTTAAACCACTTAAGTGTTGGGTTAGCAGTGTGTTCTGGGTCATTGTCCTGCTGGAAGGTGAACCTCCGTCCTAGCCTCAAATCACGCACAGAGTGGGACAGGTTTTGCTCAAGAATACCCCTATATTTAGCACCATTTATTTTTCCCTCAACTCTGACCAGTTGTCCAGTCCTGGCTGCTGAAAAACATCCTCACAGCATGATGCTGCCACCACCATGTTTCACTGTGGGGATGGTGTTCTTTGGGTGATGTGATGTGTTGGGTTTGCACCAGACATAGCATTTTCTTTGGCTGAAAAGATCAATTTTAGTCTCATCAGTACAGAGCACCTTCCTCCATACATTTTGGGAGTCTCCCACATGCCTTTTCGCAAACTCAAAACGTGCCATTTTGTTTTTTGCTGAAAATAATGTCTTTCTTCTGGCCACTGTGCCATAAAGCCCAACTCTATGGAGCGTACGGCTTATTGTCGTCCTATGTACAGATACTGCAGTCTCTGCATGTCCTCCAGGGTTACATTAGGTCTCTGTGCTGCCTCTCTGATTAATGCCCTCCTTGCCCGGTCCGTCAGTTTTGGTGGGCGGCCGTCTCTTGGCAGGTTTGCTGTTGTGCCATGTTCTTTCCATTTGGTTATGATAGATTTGATGGTGCTCCTGGGGATCATCAAAGATTTGGATATTTTTTATAACCTAACCCTGACTTGTACTTCTCAACAACATTGTCCCTTACTTGTTTGGAGAGTTCCTTGGTCTTCATGGCAGTGTTTGGTTAGTGGTGCCTCTTGCTTAGGTGTTGCAGCCTCAGGGGCCTTTCAAAAAAGATGTGTATATGTAATGACAGATCATGTGACACTTAGATTTCACACAGGTGGACATAATTTCACTAATTATGTGACTTCTGAAGGTAATTGGTTGCACCAGAGCTTTTTATGGGCTTCATAACAAAGGAGGTGAATACATACGCACATGTCAATTTTCTGTTTTCTATTTCTAAAAAATAGTTTTATGTATATATTTTTCTCATTTCACTTCACCAATTTAGACTTTTGTGTTCTGATCCATCACATTCAATTCAGATTAATAAAACATTGGCTATAATGTAACAAAATAGGTCAAAAGTCAAGGGGGTGAATACTTTTGCAAGGCACTGTATCTAATGGCTGCAGGAATACTGGACCTGAAAAGTCAATTTTCAACAAGTCCTTTTGATAGTCTAGTTTATGTTCTGAGTAGGTTCCTCCTTTAGAGATAATTTGCAATATAAAATTTAGAGATAATTTGCAATATAAAATCCCTCTAGAGGGGAAAAAAGCTAAAAATCTCACTTTTCCCAGATTTTTAGCTTTTTTCCCCTCTAAATGTAAAGTAAACAGATTGTGGAGACGGTCTGTATATTTGGCCTGATTCACTTCCTGATCCTGGTAGAGAGGTGACCTCTTGAGCATGAGAATTGAGTGTATGGAAAATGACCAGAGAGAGCCATGACTGAATGTGAAATCCCGACATACACGCAGGATGCTCAGAGCAGCTTGAAGTGGTCCTGTGGTTATTTTAGTATTTTAAATAAAACCTTCAGTGCAAACCAAATGGGAGCAGACAGAAGCACAAGCGCTCTGCTCACATGGACACAGGCCAGCAGGATCTGAAACCCTGCCATGAAAACATTCCACTAACCTCTCCAGGCCTGCACAGATGGTCTGCAAAGCCCCATATTGTGATCATTTGGAGGAATCTTCCTTGTGAAGATAGCCAGCAGAAACACAATCCATGCTTAATGCTTGTCCTGACAAAACCCGGCCTAGCAAATACTGTCAATGCCTTCGTTACTGTGACCATCATCAACGTGTGCCTTCCACTATAACGGCATTCTATTGCTTCCTGAAAATTATAATAGACGAATGGATCCATTCAGGATTTATCTGTGGTGTATTATTCAATCAATAAGACTCCACTGGTAAATGTTGGATGAATGGATTAATTTGGATATGGATTAAAAGGCATCAACTTGGATGAACCACTCTTGAAATCAACTCTTCTTCTTCTAGCAGTTGGTAGCCTCCATCTTAGCTTCTTGCCAGTCATAGTTGTATGTTCTAGTAAAAAGGAGGATTGCGGGCACACCTGGAACATGTAATTCTCAGCAGTGGTGCTGCCGTAAAAAAAGAAATTTACACTAAATACAGATTAAAAAACAGCGCATACTAAAATACAGTTTTAAATCTTATAAGGCTACTTAAAATCATCTATCTCCGCAAAAAAAATGGAATGGAATCCATATTTTTGTGCGTGCATATATATGACATACAGCCTTGGTTTAAGGTAACTAAATAGATATCAAAGGAATGAGCAGCAAATTGTTGTCACACAAAGGGTTAAGGGCAATTCCCATCTTCCAGAGCACATGTCTGCTTTGATTTGACATGTCATCTTAAAAGCAGCTGCTGTTGACAGTAATATGACAAATTCACCATGAAGTAACAAGTGAGGTTTCATTAAAGGGCAAACAGAAATTAAAGCTATTTTTATCTCTTCAGGATACAGGTGCTGTCAAATGGCTTCATTTAAAATTTGACAAAAACTAAACCCAAGATATAAAGAAAAGATTTAGAAGAAAAAAATTATATAAACACTACATAGAAAGTGAAAACAGAAACGTGCTTGTAAAATTTTTCAAAGTTTAAAGGATCACTATTCATGTATTCCTGACAATATATTTTGCTGAAAATTTTTCCCTTTAAAAGATGCCCCCATGCATGTCTGTCTTTAAAGCGGGGCTAAAGGGGCCCACGCCCAGTTATTCCTAGGGGGCCCACAGCAGCTGCCCCTTGAGCCCACCGGCTGCCATGGTCCGCGCTGCCCGCGTGGAACTACCACCACTGTCCGCACAATGAGGGCGCCTATGCTCTTATGGCCACCCAATGGCAGTGAGTCTGCGGTGCTTTAACAGCGCAACCGGGCCCCCCGTGATGAGGTCAGCGCTGGGAGGAAGTGCAGTCACTTCCTCCTAGCTAACACAGAGCCGTGCAGGTGGGAGAAAGGTAGACTAGTAGAGAGCCTGACTCCCAACAGCCTCAGCCAGTCACCCTCCTGCACACAAAAGGTAGGAGGGTGACTATAAATTTATATTTTCCATGTGTGTCTGTTTGTGTATGTATATCTGTCTGTATGTGTGTCTAAGTCTGTATGCATATCTGTCTGTTAGTGTGTCAGTGTGTGGACCTCTGTATCTGTGTGTGTCAATGTTTGCATCTATATGAGATATTTGTCATTAAGTGTTTCTGTATGTGTATCTCTTGGTATGTGGGTCTGTGTGTGCCCCTGTGTATCTGTATGTGTTAGCGTGTGTCTGTGTAATTTCCTGTGTGTCCGTATATGTATCTGTATGTGTGTTATTGTGTGTATCTACATATATGTCAGTGTGTGTTTGTCTGTTTATCTGTATGTGTGTGAGTGTGTGTCTGCATGTTTTGTCAGTGAGTGTATCTGTGTGTCTGTATGTGTGCCAGTGTGTATTTGTCTTTGTATGTCTGTGTATTTGGATGTCTGTATGTGTGTATCTGTATTTGTGTCAGTGTTTGCATCTGTATGTGTGTCAGTGTGTGTATTTTCTTTAGGTGAAAAATAAGTGTGGCTAAGTCTACGATTTATGTATGCTAGATGGTGGCAGGGAGGGGACCAGGGAGCCCAAGCAAATGTTTGCCCAGAGTCCAATCAGCATTAAACACGGCCCTGCTTCCATGTATAAGACGACCCCATTTGTTTGATACCAAAATTAAAGGGACACTACAGGGAGTGCAGAATTATTAGGCAAGTTGTATTTTTGAGGATTAATTTTATTATTGAACAACAACCATGTTCTCAATGAACCCAAACAACTCATTAATATCAAAGCTGAATATTTTTGGAAGTAGTTTTTAGTTTGTTTTTAGTTTAGCTATGTTAGGGGGATATCTGTGTGTGCAGGTGACTATTACTGTGCATAATTATTAGGCAACTTAACAAAAAACAAATATATACCCATTTCAATTATTTATTATTACCAGTGAAACCAATATAACATCTCAACATTCACAAATATACATTTCTGACATTCAAAAACAAAACAAAAACAAATCAGTGACCAATATAGCCACCTTTCTTTGCAAGGACACTCAAAAGCCTGCCATCCATGGATTCTGTCAGTGTTTTGATCTGTTCACCATCAACATTGCGTGCAGCAGCAACCACAGCCTCCCAGACACTGTTCAGAGAGGTGTACTGTTTTCCCTCCTTGTAAATCTCACATTTGATGATGGACCACAGGTTCTCAATGGGGTTCAGATCAGGTGAACAAGGAGGCCATGTCATTAGATTTTCTTCTTTTATACCCTTTCTTGCCAGCCACGCTGTGGAGTACTTGGACGCGTGTGATGGAGCATTGTCCTGCATGAAAATCATGTTTTTCTTGAAGGATGCAGACTTCTTCCTGTACCACTGCTTGAAGAAGGTGTCTTCCAGGAACTGGCAGTAGGACTGGGAGTTGAGCTTGACTCCATCCTCAACCCGAAAAGGCCCCACAAGCTCATCTTTGATGATACCAGCCCAAACCAGTACTCCACCTCCACCTTGCTGGCGTCTGAGTCGGACTGGAGCTCTCTGCCCTTTACCAATCCAGCCACGGGCCCATCCATCTGGCCCATCAAGACTCACTCTCATTTCATCAGTCCATAAAACCTTAGAAAAATCAGTCTTGAGATATTTCTTGGCCCAGTCTTGACGTTTCAGCTTGTGTGTCTTGTTCAGTGGTGGTCGTCTTTCAGCCTTTCTTACCTTGGCCATGTCTCTGAGTATTGCACACCTTGTGCTTTTGGGCACTCCAGTGATGTTGCAGCTCTGAAATATGGCCAAACTGGTGGCAAGTGGCATCGTGGCAGCTGCACGCTTGACTTTTCTCAGTTCATGGGCAGTTATTTTGCGCCTTGGTTTTTCCACACGCTTCTTGCGACCCTGTTGACTATTTTGAATGAAACGCTTGATTGTTCGATGATCACGCTTCAGAAGCTTTGCAATTTTAAGAGTGCTGCATCCCTCTGCAAGATATCTCACTATTTTTTACTTTTCTGAGCCTGTCAAGTCCTTCTTTTGACCCATTTTGCCAAAGGAAAGGAAGTTGCCTAATAATTATGCACACCTGATATAGGGTGTTGATGTCATTAGACCACACCCCTTCTCATTACAGAGATGCACATGACCTAATATGCTTAATTGGTAGTAGGCTTTTGAGCCTATACAGCTTGGAGTAAGACAACATGCATAAAGAGGATGATGTGGTCAAAATACTCATTTGCCTAATAATTCTGCACTCCCTGTATAGTCACCAGAACAACTACAGCTTCAGGCATTTTCATGTGTTTTTCAGAGAAAAGGCAGTGTTTACATAGCCCCTAGGGACACCTCCAAGTGGCCACTCCTTAGATGGCCACTAGAGGGGCTTCCTGGCTCAGTGCTGCACAGTAAGCAGCCCTGCAGTTCAGCGTCCCCATGCTCTGCATGGAGACACTGAATTTTCCTCATAGAGATGCATTGATTCAATGCACCTCTATGAGGAGGTCCTGATTGGCCAAAACGGCATTTGGCCCCGCCCTGTGCCGATTTTAGCCAATCCAATGCTTTCCCACTGGATTGGCTAAAAAGCGGCCATTTTGACGCCGTCACAAAGGGGGCGGAGCCAACGCTGGCAAACCCATGCGGTGCTGGAAATAAGGTGAGTTTTAAACTTTTATAGGGGGCTAAGAGGGGGTAAGCCAGCTAAATGGTGGGTTTAGCACTAGAGGGTCAGGAATACATGTTTGTGTTCCTGACCCTATAGTGATTCTTTAAGAAATCAATATTTTAATCATCAAATAGAACAACTTTGATTATTTTTTTTGAATCTTTATAAAAAATTCCATTTTATGACAAACATAGATACAAACAAATAAATAATATATCTATCTAGCACTTGCTTAATATAATCCATTATCTATACATAGGTATCAATATCTTTGAAGAGCATTGTACTTATTAAGGAGACCCAGTACAGTGCCTGCTTCTATAGAGAGAGGCAGAATATATACAAAACACACGGACTAACTCAAAACATACAAGTTAAAAGTCGCAGCAGAGAGTGGCGATGAATAAATGCTTTATCGGTGATACCAAGAGGTGTGGATCGCCATCTACGCACAAAGGTCATGCCAACCACATTTTTTTGTTGTTGTTAATAGTTTATTAGTTTTTCCATTTTAGTACAAAACAACACATTAAAGACATAAAAGACACAAGCACAAAATGATTATACAAATATCATCTGAGCGAGTATACTACACCATCAACGTATAGACAAA